TATACACCCAATTCATGACTAATATTTTTAAAAATAAAATAGTCATACTGTCATTTATTACATTTTGATATTTTATTTGCAAAAAAAAAAAAAAAAAAAAAAAAAAAAAAAAAAAAAAAAATTAAAGAAATAAAAGAAAAGACATACCTTAGTAGTTAATTAATTATGCTTATGGTGTTAGATCGGAACCTTGAGGTTGCATATTCAATATCTCATATAGAAAATATTCATATTTGATGATTTGATTGCAACATATAACATGAAATTATAAAAGCTTATCAATTGGTAATAAATCTACTGTTAAGAGTAAAGGTTGCATGTTCAAATTTTGTATAATCTACTTTTATAATTTTGAAAGTAAGTTGATAACATAGAATAATACATGAATCTTTTATATAATTTATGAGTTCTCAAAACTCCAATCCTACAATATTTTGAATTCCTTTCTCTGTCTCTCTCTTTTTTTTCTTTTTTTTTAATAGAAGTTATTAGGGACTTTGGTTACATATTAAACTACTTTTAATATATACTAGGGATTCAACGCGCGCGATGCGCGCAGATGACAGGCTTTAATTTTAAGGAGAATTATTACGGGTGGTCTTTATGCCTTATGCATATTTGCATGGTATTTTATTATATCAATTTGCATACTAATTTTTAACTACTTATTGATGAGACAAATTAAATAAATTAAACAAGTCATCATATATAAAGGCCTTGTTAAAAAAAAGAGACATAAAGGCTTTTGAATTCAATGGGGGTTAAATATGTAAAAGAATATTGTTATATGTAAAAGAACATTGTTATATGTAAAAGAACATTGTTAGGGATATAAATGTCCATGTACTATTCATAAGAGCATTCTCCCACTTTTTATAAGGTAGGGATAAACTAGCATTTAAATCCCGGCCAAACGCACCAAGTTAACATTAATTCTATGATTGAAATCCTTATATATATATATATATTTTATTTTGGTAGAATAACATGTAATATAGTGATAGCTTATTGGCTAACACTTAAAACTTTAGATTATAGGTTCAAATTTATACAACCACACTTTTATGCACGTAAAATGAAGCTTGATTAACTAATTTGTACATTTGAATTTTTAATACTCATCTTGTATACTTGATTACTTGTATGAGTATGTCACACATTTAGTTTTGTTATGAGCTACCAAAAGAATTTTTCCAAGACTTGCCACAACACGTAACATACCCATTAGTACTAATATTCATGTTTTGTGAGCGTGTAGCATCAAGATGATGGAAATTGGTGGTTATCATTTTCTCGTACAAAAGAAGACATTGGATACTGGCCCAAAGAATTGTTTACTTCACTGAAAGAATTTTCCAATCAAGTTGAATGGGGAGGTGAGATTTACAATCCCGAACTTAGTCGTCCTCCTCCTGAGATGGGCAATGGGAGGAGGGCAATCTATAATGGTCGATATACAGCAGCAGTAATAGCTGCTACATACGTCGATGAAAGTTATAATAATGTGGTAAACCCCGAAGACACTCATAAGGTTTGGGAATGTGAAGAATCATATATTGTTAAGGATGATGGCTATATATCAGAAGAACTAGGCCGAATGATATATTATGGAGGCCCAAATAACCCTTTGATGTTATAGTGATTTTGTAAATCCATCAATAAAATGTTTAATTTGTTTCATTATAGTTGGTCTTGCTAAATCTTAGCTTACATACTCTAATCATCAGCATGTTTCAACAATTGGGTTTTATTATTATTATTTAGATTTTTTAGAAAATAACACCACAAATTTTCAAAATTTTTAATTATAAGACCACATCATCTCAAATTTTTATTATAACACTACCAACTAACAGATTTTTGGATGGAATCCGTTAGCGGGACCCAACAAGTACATGTAACACTCATTGATTAGTTTTTTAAAAAAAAGTAAAAAAAAAAAAAAAAAAAAAACCCTAACCCAACAAGTCTTACCATCGCACCACCTTACCGCCGGCAACACAACTCCAGCCGAAAACCACCAGTACCCCACCTTGACCGGCGAAACCGAGCGACTCCCACCTCTACACCAGAGAAACTGAGCGACCACCACCCTTACCCGTTCACCCCTTCCCCCTCCTCGAAAACCAACCAGCCAAGTCGTTCAATTCAAACCGCCGCGCAACACCACTATGTAAAACCACCCCCTTTTGACCCAATCACCCTTGAAACGGCCAAATCGACCATCGAAATTACTCATTCTGGGTTTCCATGGTCGATTCCGGCCATTTTGAGGGTGAAAGGGTAAAGGAGAGGTGCGACTTTTGGCCGCTATAACACCGATCGTTGGGGTTTAATCGCCAATTTTCGGTGTTTTAAGGTTGGGTTAGGTGGGTTTTCCGGTGGCTGGGGTGTTTCAAGGTGGGTTTTCGGTGGCTTGGTTGCCGACAGTGGGGATGGGATGGGGAGGGGGTTGCCGGTGGTGGGCTGGGTTAGGATTTGGGTTTTTATTTAATTTTTTTTTGTTAATTTTTTTCTTTTTTTAAAAGCAATCAATAAGTGCCACGTGTACTTGGTGGGTCCTACTAACGGATTTCATCCATAAATCCGTTAGTTGGTGTTGAAATCAATTTTTTTGGTTTTTTTTGTAGTGTTATAATAAAAATGTGAGATAATGTGGTGCTATAATTAAAATTTTTGAAAATTTGTGGTGTTATTTTCTAAAAATACTTATTTTTTTCAATATTTTTTTTACTTACTATCGTATATTTGGTCTTGCTAAAGCTTACGTACTCTAATATGATAGTTGTCTTGTTGAACTTAACTTATTTTTGCTGAACTGAAAATATTTAACTGAGTTATTGAAATTGTTTATACGTGCTAAACTAAAATTATCTTTACTGTTATTATTTTTTGTAAGGTGAAGTGAACATGGCATTATTATACGGATCAGAGAAGCAAAGAGCATATAAACAATAATTTATGACTTTTCGTTGCTGTAAAAATTAGTAATAAAAAAATGAAATTGTTGTTATATTATTAAAAAAAAATACAAGTATGTACAGTATTAAATGTTTCAAAAAAAAAACCCGTATTAAATAAAACACAAATTTTTATATGTGATTGGCCCCACTGTGTGACCGAGGTTACTCAAGTTATTCGATCAGGGATTACTCGAGTTACTCGGTTAAGGATTATTCGGTCATGGGTTAATTGAGGGGTTACTCGGTCAGGGGTAACTTGAGTAACCCCTAACCGAGTAACTCGAGTTACCCCATACCCCAGTCACATAGAAAATCCCATTAAATAAAAACAATGGATTTATAAATTTAAAAGGAAAGTTATCTTTTTTTTTATTGTTTTTGAAGCAAAAAGGAAAGTTATCTAAATGATAGTCAACTAATGTATGGTAATTGCGTGATCATAATTAAAAAAGAAAGTGAGATTTTTATCTTTATTATATAAGCCAAAGGGTGGGGGAGAATTAAAAAATTGGTGTCCGAAATAAACTACCGAAACACTAACACCCCTCCTTCTCCAATGTTTAATTTTTTTTTTTTGAACGGGAAGAATAATATCATTAAATAAAAGTCATACGACATCTACAATAATAAGGATCTGTAAACCACAGATTTAGAGAAAATATCATAAATTTTACAATCAAAATCATAACTAATTTGCATATTTGGCATAGCTCATACTCCACCGTTCCAAGCTTGACGCGAGCAATGATTTTCGATGTCTTTGCATCTTTCCAAGTTGAGACCTCCACAATCTGCGCTGATGTTTTGATCGACCGGTTGATGACAAATCCCAGACCCATAGGAATCCAAATCACCTTTCCAATTATTATAAGAACCCTAAACATAAAATTCTCATCCATAGATGAGAATCAAAATCCCAGAAAATTGGGACAGACTCTCACAAATGGAGAGAACAAAACAAAACAAATAAACAAAAACGTAAAACAAAACAAAAAACTAAATTGAATTAAAGAAAAAGGGTCGGAAATAGTCTAATTTCCGAAACGGCCAAGAAAATTAAAACCCTAGAAGAGATAGGAGAGAGAAGAGAGAAAAAGGGGCGGCCGAAGAACTATATATTGTACGGAGTATAAAAGTCATAAATCATTTTGAGGCGTGAACGGAATCACTTTTCCAAAAGTATAAAAGTAAAGTATATTGAAATGAAATAGTTTCTTAATATATTTAAAAGAAGTAGAAAACTATAATTCTCTAATTACATTTGCTATTGCCCATTATGAATTAATTTACTTATTGTGGGAATTATGACATTTAAATCAGAAATTTAACCACGAGCTCAATTCTCTTACACCGGTATATTATAGCATTCATTATATATAAACTCAGTGGTAAAAAAAATAAGTCAAAATTATTACGGGAATACGAAACAAAGTCAAACTATACCAATTACAAAATGGATGAGAGTAAATGGTTTAAGGATCTGTATTACTTCATGATTCTTTAATATATATATAACAAAGATTATGGAATCGTATAGTATATTATCCCAAAAAATTAATAAATTTAATTTGACCTTATCGTAACTTATCTTAACTAGCATCCTTTTATAGCATGGGTACAATCAATACTTTTGATGGTATTAACATTTGTGTTTGTATTGTTTTGTGAGGGTATGTATAGCATGAAGATGACAAACATTATTGGGTATCAATAATTACTGATATAAAAAAAGTAATGGGATATTATCCAAAAGAATTATTTTCTTTTCCGGATTATTTTAGCCAAGTAGAATGGGAAGGTGAAATTTCAAATCCCATACAAAGTTCTCCACCACCTGAGATGGGCAATGGGAAGAAGGCACTCTACAACCCTTTCTATACAACATCAGTTATGCATGCTTCTTATGTCGACTGGAATTATACGAATGTGTTAAATCCCGAAGACACTCATAAGGTTTGGGATTGCGAAGCATCGTATACTGTTAAAGATGCTGGTTGGAAAACTGAAGAATTTGGTCGTCTCATGTTGTATGGAGGTTATAATGAGGTATGAGAGCCTACCATGTTTCTAGAGTTTTTTGTAAAATCATCTAGAGTTGTTTAATTACTATTTTTTTTTAGAGATAAGCAGGGCGGATATGGAGAATCGATCGGTCCCAAGAGCCTCTGCTGTAACACTCCCAAATTACTCTCTAATATTTAACAATGCTAATCCAACTTTAGGGAGTAACATGGGAGTATTACCGCCACGTGATTACGTAGGGCTTAACAGAGTTTTGCAGCGGAAAACAATACTTATCTTTTATTAATAATAATAGTAATAATAATAGTTTGATACACTTTCAAAATAACTACATTACTAATGCTATATTTATTAAGTTAAACTAGGTTATCACCGCCCATCATATCCAATGCAGCATATAGTTCACGTTGTCCGATCGCCATCACCTATCTACTTATCAAAATGATAAGTAGGGCCAAGTCAAAACAAAACAAATACGTATTAGCCAAAATGCTAAGTACATACAAATGCTAGACATGTAAAATCAATTTAATTAATTAAACATGCTTTCGAAGTGTTTTAACTTTAATAAATCATAATTTATCCAAACCATTCCTGAATAGAGATTCATGTAAAAAAACTTGTCAAAAGAACTAATTTTCGAAATAACCAACTTTCCAAAGAGAATTACGAATAGGATGGATCAATCTATATTTTCATAAATCATTTTCCCATCTAAGTGTGCACACCCCCCAAGCTAGTAAATCCAAAGATCCAAGGAGTAACTCCTGTTAAATAAATTTTTCAATATCCCATACTCGGGATAATTTTAACAATAAAACTTCCTTTTAAAAACATCTTGAATATCAGTACAAGTTTATAATCAACCATATGAAATATTTAAACATTTGAGATCAAACACTTAAAACATGTTTCACCGAAATATATTTCACAAATCATTTAAACATGGTTCAAAATCACTTAACATGTAAATCACGTTGCATTTAAAAGTCACTTTTAAAAGATCTAGCCACGTGTACGTACCTTGATCCTTGCACACAAGTACGGACCTCCTAATTTTGAACCCGAAATTCCTCCTATAACAAACTAATAATCCTAATCAAATACTTTTCAACCCATAAACACAAGAACTTAGACTATCGACTTTGACTAGTTGTGCATGAACAATTTATTATCATAACCCTTTTATAAAATTAACACTTGTATTCATAAAATTATCTTTGATAATCCGTAATAATAATATTTATAATTAAAAGGTAGAAATAGTAGTATCATATGTACGTAGTAGTATACAACATATATGTGTAGATAGTTGTTGCTAGCTAATAATAATAATGAGTAGTAGTAGTAGTACGTGAAGATGAGATCAAGTAAGTAGTAGTAGTATTACTAGTAGTAGTAATAATCTTATTAATAATTATAATAGTAGGAGTTAAAGTGGTGCAATAGTAGTAGTAATCTAGTAGTATATATATATAGTAGTATATAGGAGGGACTTACAGTAGAAACAAGAGGGAAAGGAGGTGGCAGCAAGGTGGTGTCGTGGTGGCTCGCGACCAAAAAGGAAATGAAAGAAAGGAAGATATGAGGAGGAAATAAAGGAGGAGAAGGAATATGGAGTAAGAATGCCTTACTTCCATGGCTATTTATAGCCTCCAAAAACTTCCATCATCAATGTTGCCAGAAAGGAGATGGATGGTGGTTGGGTGGTTTACTTGGACTTTGACTGTTGACTTTGACCATTGACTGTTGACTTTGACCATGGAGTAAGAAGTAGATGAGTGGTAGTTGGGTAAGTTTGACCCGGAAATAAGTGTTTGACTCGGGATTTCGGGCATAATACTAAAGGTTAAAAATCCGATTTTTGGTTATGACAAATTTTAACATGACTCGTATAATTAAAACCTTTTATAAAACATAATTATAATATTATCTTCATAAAATCATATAAATATTTTTGTGTAATAGAATATTTTCAGAAAAATCCATAGTTAATAATAATTAAGTAGCTTAAAGATACGGGGTATTACATCTGCAACCGGGGAGGAAGCATGATATATAAGAGTGCCATATTGTAACCATGTTTTTCTAGAGTTTATGTAAAATCATCAATAATTAAGTAAAAAGTTCCCTTTTTTCACATGATTATTGATTAAAAATTTGTATTGACATACATGCAAGGAGAATTGGAGCAGGCAATAAGATATGGAAGGAGTAGCATGGTTTTAGGAGATTCCTATCATTTTATGGGAGTTTTAGGAGAATTTATGACAAATTGTTATAATATTTTTTTTGAGGCCAGGGTATTGTGGGAGTATCATGGTTTTGAGTGATTTTTATATACACCCGGGTGTACGGTACACCCATGTATTTTGTTTTCATTTTGATGATTGTTTTTCATTTAATCATCAAATGAAAAGCAATAACTAATCCTAGGTTAATTCGGTGCATGGAGCACGTGAGTGTATATACAAAATTTCACATGGTTTTAGGAGATTTCTTTTTATGAGAGTTTTAAGAGAATTTATGGCAAACAAATTTAATATTTTTGTGAAGTATTGTGGGAATAAAGTATATATAGCTATAAATAGAATTAAGGAATCACTAGTAGAAAAATGGTAATTGGCACTGAGTTTTGGCCACCGGTTTTTAAAAACCGGTGGGGAAAAAGGGGGGAAATTGGTGGAATTTTAAGGGAAGAGTATTGCCTCACGTTCAAACCGAACCTGTGGGAAAAATATAAATCCCACCGGTTTTGAACAGGTGGCAAAAGTTAAAAAAAAAAATAAAAAAAAAAAAAAAAAAACAAAAGCCGCCCCACTTTATAATCCTAACCTCAGCTCCTTCTCTCTCCCCTATGCCTCCTTCATTCATTCATTCATTCAGTCGATCTCTCTCTCTCCTCTCCCTTCTGATCTCCTTCTCTCGTCAGATCTCCTCTCTTCTCTCTCCTCTCTCCTTCTCTCTCTTCGATCTCCTCTCTCCTTCGATCGTCTTTTATCTCCCCGTCAATTTTCTTTCATCTCCGCAATAACAACACCACCACTGCAAAGCCGCCACCACCACTGCAACATCACCACCACAAAGTTCGACATCAACAACAATTTCCTCATTTTTTCGCACTTTCTCTCCTCCTCGTGATGAAATTAAAGGTTTTCAAGTCAAATTCGACCATGAAAACTCTAAATCTAGAGTTTTCATGGTCAAATTAGACCTTTATAACCCAAATTTAAGCTAATTTCAGGGGGGTTTGGTGTAATTTGAGGTAAATTCTCTTTTTTTTTCTCACTCTTTTTTTTTTGAGATTTTTGGTGGAATTCGGAGGTTTGAGGGTAGTGTTTCTGGTTAGCTTTGCGTTTTGGGTTTAATTTGGTTGCCGGTGGTTGTGGTTTAATTTAGTTGCTAGTGGTTGTGGGTTAATAATTTAATATGGTGGTTGTGGGTTAATAATTTAATATGATGGTTGTGGGTTTAATTTGAGGAATTCGAATACCTTTTTTTTTCTATATTACCAGATTATTTGCAATTTTTTTTTCACTTTAATTTGGTTGCAATTGTTTTTTTTTTTAAAATTGTTCTATAATGTTTAAAAATTTCAGAATGTTAGTTAATTGAGGATTTTTATTAATTTTGGTGTCCAAATTTGATGCAAGTTTTACACTCCACACAGAATTAGGATTCAAATATCAAGATGATGTAGCTTTTGGTGTTTTAATTCGATGTTGCAATTTTTTTTTTTTTTTTTGAAATTGTAAAGACATAATTTATTTGATGAATATATATACTCCGTATGTGATCGTCGTATGTATTTTGTTTTAAAGATTATTTTTTGTTAATTTTTAAGTGAAAAAGCTAAGACAAAAAAAAACAAAAAAAATATTTGATTTTTTTGGCACTTTTAACCGGTGCCAAAAATAGTGAATTAATTTTTTTGGGCATTTTTGGCACTGGTTAACCGATGTCAATAACAAGTATTCCCACCGATTTTGAATCAGTGGCATTTCATGCGATTATTGGCATCCCTCAAATACTTAACAGTTCAAAACCGGTGGCATTGAGAGGTTTTGAACCGGTGCCAATTTCCATTTTTCTACTAGTGAATAAAAAAAACATTTTGGAGCACTAAAAAAGTAAGTGGAAAATAATTAGGGGGTGGAGGGAGTAATGAATTGAATCATGATATCTAGGAGTACCTTTTTAATCAATGTGATTTAATGTTGACAAGGGCTATGTATAAGAAGCTAAAAAAAAAGAAATATTGAGGATAGTTTAACATTTATCACATCGATATATGTGTGATTTTTTCCATAAATTCTCAACTCAATTCAATTTTAGAATATTTATTTAACAATGTATTTATATATATATAGCCCTAAGGACTATACTCCCTCTATTTTTTTATTTGCATCACTTGGCAATGCATAGAGTTATAGGAGAGTAATATAATATTGTGAGTATGTGAATAAATTATTATAGTAAAAGTAAGATGGAAACCATAAAAGAGAAAATATGTGAGATGAGATATACTACCTCTGTTTCTTTTTAGTTGACACATATTCCTTTTTAGGAAGTTTTTTTTTTTAGTTGACACGTTTCCTTTATGGGCAAATTTTTTACCTTGCATTTACAAGCTACTGCACTTGCTTTTTCATTCTTTCTCACTCTATCTCCTCTCCTTAATATATATGTGCCTAAATCAAACACGTCAACTAAATAGAGACGGAGGAAGTATATTTTTATTATTTAAGTGGGGACCATGGAAGAGAGAGAAATGATAAAATAATTTGAGTGGGGTTCCTCTCCTTAATATATATGTGCCTAAATCAAACACGTCAACTAAATAGAGACGGAGGAAGTATATATTTTTATTATTTAAGTGGGGACCATGGAAGAGAGAGAAATGATAAAATAATTTGAGTGGGGTTTAAAATAAGAGAGAGAAATGATAAAGTATAGTTGTTCCTCCGTCCTCTTTATTATGTGAATGCTAGAAATAAGCTTCTAATAAAGGGACAAATGGTATATAAACTATAAAGTTACCAAATATAGAAGTGATGCATTAAAAAAAACACCCATAAAAGGAAAATGATGAAAATTAAAAAAACGGAGGGAGTATATATCATTATCATATACTACCTCCGTTTTTTTTAATTGACACGTTTTGACTTTAGCACTATTCACACACTCCCCTTTGACCATGTTTTGTGCTTTATACGTAATGAAAAATATAGTCATGTGGGATCTTGTTAGATTCGTTACGATAAATATTTTCAAAATATCAACTTTTTATAATTTTTTTATCAGTAATTAAAGATATGAATGGTTGAAGTAGTGCGTTGACAAACGTGAATAAAGAAACATATCAACTAAAAAGAAACGGAGGAAGTATATATATATTTATATATATATATATATATATATATATATATATATATATATATATTACATTTAAGCATAATAATTTAAGCAAAAGTCTACACATACAATTGTTGTATGTGGTCCCTACATACAACCTTACTTTGTCATGTTTTTATTGGCTACAATAATGGGCCTTTTGAATTCTAATTTTCTCCCATTTTTTTGATGATGTGATAAATTTCTAATGGTGTTGTATGTAGGGACAACATACAATGATTGTATGTGTATCATTAATAATTCCTCACATTCAACGTCATTAATTCTAAGTTTTTGGTAATGTTTCTCCAAAGTCAATTAAATACTCCCTCCGTCCCTAAATTACATTCCTCTTTCTCTCTATTATGTGAGGAATAAATGATAGAAAGAGGAATGTAATTTAGGGACGGAGGGAGTAACAAAATTAACATTGGTTACTATGACAACAGGTGACAAGATAGTCTAGCTAGTCAACAATTTAACGTATACTCCCTCCGTTTCAAAATGATGTTCTTATTTCGAATCGATGCAGATTTTTGCCCATCTTTGACCGCATATATCTTTAATTTCACATCAACATAAATTATAAAAGTTATATATTAATAATCTACTCATCAATACGAATCGAATTATATCCTATATGACTATACTTGTTCTTATATATTAAGAGAAATTTAGAAGATTTTTTTTTTAAAAAAAAAAAAAATTAAAGATTCCAAACAGGAACATCATTGTGGAATGAAGAGAGTAATAAATATATTCACGATATGTTACCATGTTAATTAGTATGATTAGTCAACACATAATAAATATATCATGATATGTTACCATGTTAATTAGTGTGATTAGTCAACACATAATATGTATTATCATGTTAATTAGTGTGATTAGTAAACCATAATAAATATATCATGATATGTTACCATGTTAATTAGTGTGATTAGTCAACACATAATATGTATTATCATGTTAATTAGTGTGATTAGTAAACCATAATAAATATATCATGATATGTTACCATGTCAATTAGTGTGATTAGTCAACACATATTAAATATATTCAAAATATGTTACCATATTAATTAGTGTGATTTAATATCAATAATTCTAACTTTTTTGGTAATGTTTCACCTAAGCCAATCAACGATAATGCTCTTGATTTCTTTACTAATTTTGTGATCTTATGTATACTTATATATAATTGATATCTTACTTCTCTACTATAGCACCATAACTCATTTCTAGGACAACAATAGTTAGTGAAGGAGTAAGGAAGAATGGCTTCTTCAACATCATTTTTAGTGCTTTTCTCTTTATTAGTTTTGTGTGGATTATGCGGCACAACATTCTCTAACCAACAAGAAGTGAAGAAGACTATCAAGGTAATTTAGATTGAATTCAGTCTCTTCCATTCCATAGTTCTCTTTATGCCTTTATGTAACTAAAACTAATTTGTTCTTTAACTTCTTTTTCTCCAATAGACAAAACATGGTGTTTATGATTGCGTAGACTTTTACAAACAACCGGCGTTTAATCATCCATTGGTCAAGAATCATGCATATAAGGCAAGTTATTTTATTGTATGAATATAGTGTGTATGAACATATTAAAATTTTAAAGATTATATTTTAACTATTATTATTATCCCGTTATTTATTTGGTTAAACTATTAAAATGTCCATTCTATAAAAGTTATCACGGTTTGACATTTTGCGTTATTAATGAAACGATTAGTATCTCTAATTTTCGATATTGTGAAATTATTTTTAAAAATAGGTATAAATATAATATACATTGAGATGATTCAAACAATATCTCGCATGACTATATTTTATCACTCGTAGCTATAAATCAGAAAAGTTAATTAAAGTGAAATTCAAGAATAGTACAAAAGTCAAATGATGTCGACTAAAATAATAATAGAGAAGAGAAAGGAAAGGGGAGGAGAAAAAGGGAAGGGAAAGGGAGGTGAGGGGATGGAGAAGGTGACTTCAATTTTCATTTTGCTTTTAAATCTCGATCCCAACAATGAAAGAATTTGCTTTATTAAAAGGAAAAAAAAAAAAAAATTGGATCCTTCCAATATCTTCTTCTCCTTCCTTCCTTGTTTTAGATATCCAAACAAAGAATAATGCATATTTCTTTTTCTCTTTTCTTCCTTTTCCTCTATATCCTTCTATCAGGCTGACCCTTAGCCGGTGCAAGGTGAGCGGTGGCACAGGGCCCAACTTTGTTTGGGAGCCTCAGGATAACTAATTTTATATAATATTTACAACGAATAGATATCAATTGATAAACTTTGGTTAAGTGGTGTAAGGAGCTTTTCCGCTTAGATTAGGTTGTAAGTTCGAATCCTAGTACAACTTGCATTTATTTCATTTTATTTTATTTTTTTGTTATTTTAAAATTTAAATTATAAGGCAATTAATCAATTTTTGAAGCAAAAATGCTATTAATTGAGTACTACTTTGCTTTACAAAAACTCTTTATCATTTCATTAACAAAACGGCCTAGTTTTATTCCAACTGCACAGGGCTTCATAATCATTGGGACGGCCCTGCTCTCTATCCATAGTACGTGTTAAATTGTTGATGATTAGTACTATAATATAATTGTATACCATAATTTTTCTATCTAGGTGTTAAATTGTTGATGATTTGTAATATACTTGTATATCATAATTTATCAATCTATTACCTATTATTAAAGACGAATAAAAGTAACACTTGGCAGCATCATGTTTGAGTATTGTATCTAAATAATGACAATTGATGTACATACAAAAAATCTAAAGTAAACTTTCTAAAATATTCATTGTTTATTATACTTTATACCTTTTTATAATTTAATTTTTATTATAATTATTTAACAACCGTGCATCTTTTGCATGAGAATTGATCTAGTTTTTACGTATGTGCAGATACCGAACCTGGAAAAACTTCAAGAACAAAAAGGTGATTGACGACATAAAACTCAAAGATGGTGGTTGCCCTTTTAAAACCGTTCCCATCCTAAGAACCAATTTGAATTCCAGCGTCTTTGACATTAATCAACTTGAATCTCCTGATAAACATTGTGTAAGTTTATTTGTTAATTGTTTGGTGTATCTATTATATAATTATAGATATTTTTCCCCAACTTTTATCCACAACACTCCAAAACTCTAATTCTCAAAATCTTTGCACTTTTTTTTTTTGTGTTTATTTAATAACTTCCAACTTTTAAAAAAAAAAATTAAACTATAACTTCCACTTCTATCACAAATTCTTATATGTGGCTTGCCGCCACACGGTGTAGCCGGCCATAATAGGGATTACTTTGATAGTGTTATAGGGGTTACCCGATTAGTGTTCAGGGGTTACTTTATTAGTATTACAGGGGTTACTTCGTCAGTATTATAGGGATTACTTAGTCAATGTTGTAAGGGTTACCCGATCAGTGTTTTAGAGATTACTTTATTATTTTACAAGCGGTCACACGGGGCGTGTTCGGCAAAATATAGTTGTAGAGGTAGTTGTTAGCTGTGCTGGTGGCTGTTAGCTGTATGTGTACTTTGTGCTTTAGAAGGGTACGTTCTAGTTATGAAAATTTTATAATTGTCAATTAAAATATTTATTCATTAAATACTCCATCCTCGGTATAACTTTCTTTGAAAGTGTCAGAAAGGTAATTCATTTGCGCCACTAACGTAGTTTCGTGTATTTGTGAAAGGACATTCAAATTTCATTTAGAAATAAGTATTTTTTTTTTTGTTTTTTAAGATTGCTACATTTGATGATTTATGCGGTTTATGAAGGAAAACAAGATAGATAGTGGAAAGTTATTTGTCATATATATCAATTATTATTGAAAATAGAATTATTTGTGCTGAGACTAGGTTATATTTTTATAAATAGGGATATATAATTGCTTTTGGAGTAAATAAATATTTTTATAAATGATTGTGCAATGATATGACATGCATAATTAATTGTATTTAAGATAACAAGATGATAAAACTAAACATGGGTAGTAATTGCTAATAATTGGTACAGGATGCTATAGTTCATACAAATAACTTGGACAGGAAATTTTTGGGAGTTGCTGGGGTACTCTCACTTTATAAACCTGTTGTACAACCCAATCAATGGTCTACAGCGCGAATTAAGCTTTTAAATGGTGACAATAGCTTTGAAGCCGGATGGATGGTAAGATAAGAATTTAAATTAGGATTTTCAGTTCTTTAAATTGTCTTAAATCACATAGAATATATAAAACAAACTTATTTTGGGTGGTCAATTTCAGGTAAATCCTGCGATATTCAAGGATAATGAAGCACATTTGTATGCAAGTTTCACTGTAAGCATTTTTTTTTTTTTTTGAAATTGCTACCCACCTATTGTAGATGGGTTCGCTGTAAGCATTTTTATCAATTATTACTATAGGTTGAAAGTTTTTTTTTTACATATAATAGTGAAACATGAGTAGTTATGGATAAAATACTAGGTACGTATTAGTAAAAAAAAAAATTAAGGAATCAAGACTTATCTCTTTAATACCCCACCTAATTTCTTACTCACTTTTCTTATTTAATATTTCTTTTAAATTTACTCATTTGTAAGTGTTGTAACAAATTTAAGAAATTAGACCCAGGCCACCACTTTTTATTACTACATATTAAAAAAAAAATAAAAAAAAAATTATATATCACTTTTCTCTCCTATAATTCAATGTATTTCTTGGTTTAGTAAAAATGTATATTTGTAAATTGAAAAGTAACCGAGGGCATATGTACTAATATTCTAATATTCTTGTATTGAAAAAAATAACTTTGATAGACCGGGGGAAAAGGATGCATAAATCAATGCCCAGGTTTTGTTCAAGTGGCTGAAGACATGCCTTTGGGTGTAGTCCCAAGCAAGTACTCTGAATATGGAGGACAACAACAGGCTTGGGATTTATCAATTATCAAGGTATAAGTCCGCAACTAATGTTTATTTATTTATTTATTTATAATGACTATTATTAAACTCAATCATGCCCCACCATTAATTACATACAATTAACAATTATACACTCAATCTCCACACACAAAAAAAAAAACAATTTTACACTCAATTCATGACTCAAATCTTTTTTAAAAAAATAAAAATAGAAAAAATATTAATTATATTGTCATTTACTTGTATTACATTTTGATATTTTATTTTTTAAAAAACGAAAAAAAAGACATAGCTAAGTAGTTATTCATCTGATGTTAGAGGTAAAATAACATGAACTTATAAAAGCTTATTAATTAGTAATACTTCTAGTGTTAAGATTAAAGGTTGCATGTTCAAATTTTGTATAAACTAGTTTTATAAATTTGAAAGTAAGTTGATACATAGAATAAATGAATCTTTTACATAGTTCAAGAGTTGTTTTTTGTAATTTCTCACCAAATTCCTCCAAAAGTCTAATCCTACAATTTTATGCACTCCTTTTTTTATATTATTATTTTTTATTTTTTGGGAAGTTATTAGGGGATTTGGTTACATATTAAGCTACTTTTAATATATTATAAACTAGCTTTTAAATCTCAGTTGATGCATCGAGTTACAACATTAATTCTGTGATTGAAATTCTTATTTATACTACTTTGATAGAATAACATGTATAAATTCAAATATACAAGTTTATACAATCCATACTTTTTAAACAGGTAAAATGAAGCTTGATTAACTAATTGTGCATTTTAATTTTTATTACCACCAAAAGAATTTTTTTCAAGACCTGCCACATCGCGTAACATACCCGGCCCATTCTTACTAATATTCACGTGTTTAATGTTTTGTGAGCGTGTAGCGTCAAGATGATGGAAATTGGTGGTTATCATTTACTCGTACAAGAGATAAAATTGAAAAAGATGACATTGGATACTGGCCCAAAGAATTATTTACTTCACTGAAAGAATTTTCCAATCAAGTTGAATGGGGAGGTGAGATTTTTAATCCCGAGCTTAGTACTCCTCCTCCTGAGATGGGCAATGGAAGGAGGGCAATCTATGATGCTCAATATACAGCAGCAGTATTTAATGCTACATATGTCAATGAAAGTTATGAGAATGTGGTAGACCCTGAAGATACTCATAAGGTTTGGGAATGTGAAAAATCATATACTGTTAAAGATGGTGGTTTTACATCAGAATATTTAGGCCGAGTGATATATTATGGAGGCCCAAATAATCCTTTGATGTTATAGTGATTTTGTAAATTTTATCATTTATCAATAAAGAGTTTTAGTTTTTCATTACAGTTGGTCTTGCTAAAGCTTACATACTCTAATCATCATGTTTCAACAATTGGGTTTTATTAGTATTATTTTCTTCAACAATTTTTTTTTTTTTTTAATATTACTCCCTTCATCCTTTTATTACATGCCTATTTTCCATTTTGTACGAGAATTAAGAAAGTTAAAGATTCCTTAAAATTAATAATTGAGACTACAAATATGCATGTGGTGTTAGAGAGAGATAGAAAGAAAGAAAAAAGTGATTGAGAATTAAGAGAAAGAAAATATTGGGAATTGATGTTAAAGTACAAAATAGAGAAAAAAAAGGATGACAAATCATCAAAAAGAGAGTAAAGTACAATTTATAGATAGAAATAGGCACTTAATTTTAAACACCCAAAAAAGGATCACATGCATATAATAAAAGGACGGAGAGAGTATTGTATAGTTGGTCTTACTAAAGCTTACGTACTCTTATCATTATAGTTGTCTTCTCGAACTTAACTTATTTTTGCTGAACTGAAATTATTTATACGTAATGAACTAAAATTTTGTTTACTGAATATTATTTTTTTAAGGTGAAGTAAACAGGGAATAATTACATGGATCGGAGAAGCAAAGAGCATATGAACAATATTTTATCACTTTTCGTTGTTGTAAAAATTAGTAATAAAAAAATGAAATTGATAAATTATTAGAAAAAATACAAGTATATACTCGTATTAAATAAAATACAAATTTTTATATGTGGTTGGCTACATCGTGTGGTCGGGGTTACTCAAGCTATTCGGTCAGAGGTTACTCGAGTTACTCGATCAGGGGCTACTCGGTTAGGGGTTACTCGGTCATGGGTTCGGTCAAGTTTTACTCGATCAGGGGTTATTTGAGGGGTTTGGTTTGAGGTTACTCGGTGAGGGGTTCGATCAGAGATTACTCGAGGGATTATTTGAGGGGTTACTCGGTTAGGAGTAACTCGAGTAACCCCTGACTAGGTAACTTGAGTAACCCAGTCACCAAAAAAAAAAAAAAAAAAATTCCCCTTAACAATAGATTTATAATTTAAAAAGGAAAGTTAGCTAAATGATAGTCAACAAATGTACGGTAATTGTCTTGTTTCAAAAAAAAGTGTACGGTAATCATGTTATCATAATTTTGAAAGAAGAAAGTGCGATTTTTATTTTTATTATACACGCAAAGGGTGGTAGAATTTGTTACATACACCACACCCATCCACCCAGGTGTACAGTACAACATAATATTAGTCCTTTCTCTTCATTTGTTGATAAAATGAAAAATAATCATCAAAATGAGAATAAATATTCATGAGTATATGGTACACCCTAGTGTATATACATAACAACCTTTCAAAAGGTGGGGAAAAGTAAAAAAGTTGGTGTCCGAAATAAACTACCGATAATACCCCTCCTTCTCCAATGTTTAATTTAAAATAATTTAGGCGATAAAAGAATCAATTATTTATATCTAAAAAAAATCTTTTTTGGATGATGTAATAGTAGGAGTTTATAGGTACTACGCAGCGGAAAAAATATGAATCATATTCATACAGTACCTAATCCCAAGATCTAATGTATAACACATAAAGAGCATATAATCGTACCTTTGAAGCGTGATTCCACGTGCGATCGAGCAAGAACAATGGGAGATAAAGAACCCCAAGCGTGATTCCTCTACTTAGTCCACGAGCATGGATTAAACCTCCACTAATGCTAGTTAGTTGTGACTGAACATTTCAATCAACCTTCAACGGAAATTTGAGCCACGAACACACCACAACACCACCCACGCGCCACCCAAGAGGGAGGGTCGTACGGACAGGGAGGAGAGAGAGAGGGCCGAGTAGAGAGAGAGATATAGGGTTTTTAGGAAGCTTGGTTGCTTGTGTGACAATTCACTGTATGTCAATTGTTGTGTCATGCAACCCTAGGCATGGTTTATATTTATAGATCATATCTAGAAATAAAACCATGTCAAGTCCAAAACCATTAAACTCTTCTAACTATCCAAGCCCAATTATCAACATGGCATGTTATGAACTCATGAGGCCCAATAATGGGCCTCTAACTTGTTTAACCCAATACTCTTATGTGTGACCTTGCACTACAAAAATAAAAGTTTTTTAGCTACTAAGTTTGGCAACAGATTTTTAAAATGTTGCTAAATAGCAACGAATCTAAATTTTTTCATTGCCTAATCAAAAGCGACATTTTATGCTTTAGTTTTTTAACAAACAATGACTACATATTTTTGAATTGTTGCTTTTTAAAACAAATTGTCTTACTAGTTGTTACTAGATGGCATCATATTTTTCTCTTGTTGCCAAATAGTAACAAACTATGACAACAAATATTTTATTTGTATTGATTTAGAAACAAACAAATACAATGAATTTTTGAATTGTTTCCATTTGAAACAAGTCTTCTAAATTATTGTTGCTAATTGATAACACATTATTTTGTTTGTTGCCATTGGAAACGAGTTGTGTTACATATTCTTGTTAATTTATATGTAAGCCACTTTTTGCTGTAATGTATAAAATTATTTGTTGCTATAATGACATCAAATAGAGACGGATTTCAATTTCGTCTCTAATTTAGAGACGGATTTTTGATTTTGTCCCTAATTTGGAGACAAATTTTTCAATTTCATCTCTAATATTTTGTTCACTTATTATAAATTATATGCATAGAAGTAAACAAATAGTACTTGGTATAGTTGGTAAGAGATTCACCATTTGACTTTGAGGTCACAAGTTCGACTCCTACCAAATGCGATTCTTAAGACTGGGGATTCAAAGAGCCTTACATGCAAAGTCGAGCTGAGTTGACCTAACCTGAGTGAGATTTCAGATCGGTAACGGCCGAGATCGGGTTGAACCAAATTGCTAATAGGGATTGGGTTTTTGTCTCGTAGTGTTGATAGCAACCAATATTAATGATTTGTAGCTATTTTTATGAACCAACTTTAATAATTTGTTGCTATTTTTAGGAACCAATATTAATAATTTGTTGCTATTTTAGGAACTAACATTAATAATTTGTTGCTAATTTTAGCAACAACCAATGGTAATCTGTTGCCAAAGTTGGCAACGAATGCACCACAAACAGCAACAATCATGGAAACTATATTTAAATTGATGCAATATTGCAACAAAATTGTTTTGCAACTGGTATCCAAAATCCCATGACAACAAGCCTTTTAGCAACAACAAATTTTTGCTTCCAACCCGTTGCTAAATAGAGTTGGCAACGGATTTTTGGTGAATAGCAACAAATTTTAGTTGATGCTATTGTTTTGGGTGTTTTTGTCCCTTGGGAGAGTTACAACACGAAGACTGATCCGGTGTAAGCTGTACCTGAAAAACAAACGGAGACACCGGTTGGGTGGTGGTCCGCCTCCGACGCACAAGTTAGAAACTTGAAGAGAGAGAATAAGTGCGGAAATTTAGGTGGGTATCTGCTCGGATTCCAAGCTCAGGTCTTTCTCTGATGTAAGAGAATACTATTGTAATAAATGGTAAAACGTGTCCTCAAACAGAGGGACATCTCCCTATTTATAGGGTCTTTGGGATTTGTGCCCCTAATTAGGTCATTGAACCCTAATCATTGGTGGGCTGCGCCGTTTTGCGGCTTTCTCGGGATTTGGGCCTGAAAGCCGCCTTTTTCCCTTAATTTCTGGAGTGACACGTATCAAGAAGGGATTGGTCCACTTTGGGCCATCCTGAGGCTGACACGTGTCATCCTCTGATTGGACCACGTGGCGGGGTAAAATTACCCTAAACATTTGCCTCTCACAGATGTGACGTGGCACGCCACGTGGTATCTGTGACACGTGTCACGCTCCGATTGGCGGTAATTTTACCATTAAAGAGTAACCGTTCACCTTCCGAGTAAATTACGAGAATGCCCCCATATTTACCCTCTATATATAGCCGTTTTACCCTCATAATTTTGTACGTTTACAAAAATTTTCTAGAGAGAAAACTTTAAGAGAGCAGAAGTCATCCGTTTGAGTCAGGCGTAAGCAAGGAAGTTTGTTCTCCATCAACCCAGCCGGACCCGCCTATCTTTAGATATCACATCCAAAGGTACCGTCTCTGCCTCTCTCAGCTCTTTTTCTTTTTTCACCACTTGTACATATTTCTTGCAATAAATGGATGCATCACCAACACACACGGCATAACCTAGGTTAGAGTCCAGCCGGTCACCAGGGACGGCTGAGTCTAGGACTGGGAGTGCCGTCTCGGGGTGTTGGGACCACCCTTTGCCTTGGATTCCGATCAGTTACGTGTCTGTGCAGGACACAATGGCTCGGACAATGCAGACGGCAACTGATCCAAATTACAGAAGCCAAAGCTCAGGCGGCCAAACGCCTGAGGGAGAAACGTCTGGTCAGGGAGGTCAGACGGCTCTGGAGAGATCCCCTCCGCGCGCCCCCTCAACTCCCTTTGACTCCTTTTTGGAAGAATGTGACCAAGGCGGCGATGAGGCCGTCTTTGTCCCCTTGACCCAAAATGAGGAGGAGACGGAGAGCGACAGCTCCGCCTCTACCTCTGAGAGCAGTGACGATTTACCCCCGCTTTAGGATAGTGAGGAGGAAGAAAGGAAAAAATGGAACGAGAAGGACGATCCCTTCAACATTCACGTCTCCTCCAAGGACCGGATCCAAATGGAGGAGAACTTGAAGAATTTTACTCAAATGCACCCGCTAGGAGACGGGTATAGGATCCGGGTGCCGCCTGAGAATGGCACCATCGCCTGGGAGGACGATCAAGAGAACGCCAACAGCTATTTCAGGTGTTATGAGGCGGCGTTCAAGGCTGGTCTTCGCTTCCCTCTTCACCAGGCGGTGAAGGCAATTTTGAGAGGCTACGGCCTCGGAGTCTGGAAACTTACCCCCAACTCTTGGACAAACATTCTGGGGTATGTTGCCACCTGCGAGTTCCAGGGGCTTAACCCCGCCTGAGAGGCTTTTGCTAGTATGTATTATCTTAGCAGAAGCCCAGGCGGCTGGAGGGCGTGGTATACTCTAACCACGCATCCCCAATACATGATGACCTTGGACAAGGTCTCTAAATTCGAAGGCTGGAAACACAGGTTCTACTTGATGTCAGCTCCAAGCAGAC